TTAAACTGACCACCTCTACTGCATCATCAACAGGAATGCACGTAAAGAGTGATGTGACATCAAAAGAGACCATTGTTTCATCAGTCTCCATGATGACATCCCTCACCTTATCCACAAAGTCCATGGTGTTCTGTATGTGGTGTTCTGAGCTGCCAACTAAAGGGATGAGTACAGACGCCAGATATTTGGAAACATTGTAAGTGACAGAGTTAATCATACTAACAATAGGTCTTAAAGGTCAAGGTTAAGGCGTCTTTACTGTCATTCACATCACATGTGGTACATGAGGTGGAACGACACTATGTACACAGGGTCCCAGTTACATCCAACAAAAATACAAATTGTAAAGAAAAAGAGTAATAAGATCTAAGGTATGAACTAAGAAATACACTAAACTAAGAATATACTAAGCACTTATAGTACAAAACAATGTGCCAAACAACAGCATGAGTCTGCATGTGTAGATGAAGATGAATGAACACAGCAACATGAAATAATCAGCAGCATGAGATCAGCATCATAGATAGTCAGCAGCACATATCAACAATCAAGTGGCATCACAGTGAGGTACACCTTGTTTGTGGATTTTAGGTAAACCATACAGACTAGGTGTGGCCTCCCCTGGGTACAGTCTGTGGTACAGAATACGGTCAATAGCCTTGTCCTGCTCCATACATTTCCAAACTTCTTCTTGTAGCCACTTCCTGGATCTATTTTCAGAGGTTCACAAGTGTTTAAGTCACTAAGGAGTGTCATAACTTTCTCATGATAGTCTTTCTGGTTCAAAATCACTGTGCACCTTCCTTTGTCTGCTGGGAGAATGATGATGTTTTTGTCCTTGCTAAGAGTGGTGAGTGCATCCCTCTCCTCTCTACTGATGTTGGAAGGCAGTGGTTTGGCATTGCTGAGGCAGGATGAAACTTTGATTCTGAGTTGTTCTGCTTCACACTCTTTAATTTTGTTGTCGTGGATGGCTGACTCAGTGGCTGTGATCATCTCCACCAGAGGAATTCTTCTTGGTGCAACCACAAAGTTCAGTCCCCTGGCAATGACCTCTGTCTCCGGCTGGGTGAGCTGTCTGTCAGATAAATTTTTCACCCACTTTTCTGTCTCCCTCATGTGTGACTGTCTACTGGTGTTGTCTTACACTGAATGTTTTGTATTGGAAATGGGATGGGTTTGACGAGTTATCAGTAACCACACCTCAGTCTGACGAAGTCTTTTGGATACAAGGCGGAACGTTTCAACAAGTTTTGTATTTTTTTAAATCCCTCCAGAAGACCTGACTTAACTTTGTTAGACTTACGTAAAAACATTTTACTCCCACCGGGCGTTTATAGATGATAAATCCTTTGATCCCACTCTGCAGCTTTTTGAAAATATTCTTTCAAACTGCCTCTTTGATGTTTTCCAGACAAAGCATCTTATTATTTCTTGAGTGCATACATAAGAACAGGGCCTGTCTGGGAAACATGGATTCTCTATTAAACTACAGGGCTGACCTACTACAATCTAAGATTAAAGTAGATGAAGTTGGGATGAGACATATATGCAAAAATACATATTTTTATATAGAACTGTGCAGTAGTTTTTAACACGTGCTGTGAAATTATTTCAAAACATTCCCCAGATATTGATGGATAAGTCTAAACATCTATTGTGCTGATACTGATTTTTTTAATGGTAAATATTTCACATGGTGGTGAGTTATTTAGCTTGTCTCTCAGGTGGTGGATGATGTTGGAAACCTGATGTCCTGTCGGCTGGCAGGCCTCAAGCCGGGAACCGTCTATTTTGTCCAGGTGAGGTGCAACCCTGTGGGGATCTTTGGATCCAGGAAACCTGGAATCTGGAGTGACTGGAGCCACCCTACTGCTGCCTCCACACCCAACAGTGGTAGGTACACAATGTATTACCCAAAAATATTGTCCTCTCCGATCACGTCTTGATGTGCTCTTATGGAAACAATAGGTTGAGAAGTGAATTAAAGATGGCCAACAAAATGACGATTCCTGAAATGATCAAACTAAATCTACACTGTAAAAAAAAAGTCTGTAAAAAATGATGTTAAAACTGTCAAATGGCAACAGTAAAATACCATAAAATCTAAAACAGTATATCACTGTAGTAAATATTATGTATTACTGTAAGTCATAGGTACATTAAAAACAAGTAAATGTAACAATTTTTAACTGATGAATTAGCATAAAAAATTGTTCAATTACAGTAAAAATACTGGCATTTGTAGATGACAAAGATGTTAAATTTACATATTTTATAAATGTACTTGTCCATAAATTATTCTGTAAAAAGTTTTTTTTTAATGTATTTTTACATAAGACATGTAATAAGTACAGTGAAAATGTGTTTATGTTTACCAAATAATATGTAAATTTTACTTAGTAAAACTGTTGAATTTACAGCTTAATCTGTAAAACTACCTGATCACGATATTTTTTACAGAAGTTTTCTGGCAGTTTTATTTCGTAAAAATTACAGATTTTTTTTACAGTGCACATTTATTTATTTATTTATTGTTTATTTGATAGGGACAGATAGACATAGATCAAAACAATCTAATGCCTGCATCACAGTGTATATAGCCAAAGCTAATTCGCTACACCCGTCCCTAAAAGGACCTTTAACAGTTGATTAAATGAAAAGTTAAGATCAACAGTAAAAACAATAAATTATTTTAAAAAATAATAAAACAAACTGCTGAGTTAAAACAATTATAATATTTAAAAATGAATACAATTCTGGTTCATCTTTAGCCAATTGTTAAGTCTTGAAGTCTGAGGTCTTTCCTTTTGTTAGCTGGTCTTAAATGTGCCCCGAACATCTGTGATGCCCACAAATCTCTGCCATTTGTTCCCTTTTAATAATCCACCGTTCATTGCCTATTAAAACCAGGAAAAACAATGTCCCTTATCCCTGATTAAACATCCTGCTCAGGAAGATCCAAACCGCATGTGAGCTGCAGGAAACCAAACATCAATGTGTTGATAGAGATCTCCAAGCAGAGGATTAGAGGGAGCTGCAGAGAGCCAGGGGGACATGTCATAGATTTTTGTCGTCTGTTTCCAAAGATTGATCAAGTTAAAAAGCTGGTTGTCCGTCTGTGGTGCGCACACACACACGCAGGACTCATAAAGCTTTGAGTGGAAGCAGGTTTGGGAGCAGATAATGAGTTACATAGGTTGTGTGGCATTTATTTCCCAGACAGAGGAAGTCGTTATCGGCCTCTGTCGTTTGCCATAAAGAATTGATTGTGGCAGACAACAGCTTTCTCTCTCTCGGGGGCCAAACGTTCATCTGAAACCGTAGCTCCGTTTATGTCATCTGTTTTGTTAAATTAAACATCAAAAATATACACTGTGGATCTGTGCTTTGTTTACTTTAGATGTGAAATCTGGAATATGTGCAACGTTTTGTGGCGTTTAGATTTATAGAACAAATGTATTTACATCAAACTCACAGTGAGATATTTGGAGTGTGATATTATTTTCAGTAACATTGCTTCAAGTTTATGAATGTTTTTATACATTTTACCCATATATGCACTTTTAACATTTGTTTTTCTGAAAAAAAAAAGCAAGGAAACTTTTTTAATAACTTCACTGGCCTTAATTTTTAAACGCGTATTGGGGGAGGGGAGTAAAATATAACAAAAACAAGTCTTGTTAAAGTGCTGTACTCAGTGTTATATTCTCATAATGTTCTGTCGTATGCAAGGCCACGAAGCAGGGGTGCAGAGGGTGTTGGAGCACCACATGATGGATGCCAACACCTATGTCCAAACACATACTTAAAATATTAAATGCAGATTTCATTAGTGTTGCATTTGTTCAAATCCAACATTAGGACATTTATGAATTTTGTAAAACTAGTACACATAAACCAGAACTACTGTATATCTGTGTGCAAATTTGTACTGGTTAAAACACACAAATTGATGGGCAAGTTAGCATTAGGATTGCAATTTTATATATACTGTTTGTATAAAATATATGTGTAAAAACATGTATTTCATCTCATATAGGTAATATTTCTGTGCATGTTGCCCCCTGTGAAGTAGTTTCAGCAGTAAACTGGTGATGGTGTTTTTAATCTTTCTTCCTCTTTGCATACAAAGGGGTGAAGAACTATTTTAACTACAAGTTTATTTAAAAAGCCAGCTCCTGACCTGTTGCCTTGATATCTGACTAAAACTGACCTCTTCTGTCGTAACAGTTACCTCGATGCTCTCCCATCTTCCTTTACCCCAGAGCTGCTGCAGAGAGGCTCCTGTGATAAACCCAGCGAGCAGAACTCCACCCTGCGGCGACAACTCAAGCAGTTCTTCAGCTGGCTCCGAAAGCACGCCTCCGGCTGCAGTGGCATGTCAATCAAACTGTACGACCAGTGGAGAGCGTGGCTGCAGAACTCCCACAAAGCACACGTCCAGGTAGGTAAGCAGAGTCTCCCTTTACTTCACCCTCTCTGCTCAGCACAAACACTACAGCTGCACCAGATTCCAGAGCTGAATGTTTGACCCTGTTCTTGTTTTACCATATGGTCGGCATTTTTAACGAGCAAAAAAAGAACATTTCCCCTTGAACCGTCTCTTTGGTTTCAGTCTGCACGTTATGATCAGGTAAAAATGTGTGGTTTAGACTCCCGTCAGTCTGATTTCATTTCAGATTTTAAACGAGCGGTCTTGGGATGTTCAGCTGATCGCCACAACAAAGAGACACAAACGTAGTGTCATTAACAGTCTGCAGTAATGGGCTCCTTTTGTTTTCCCATGGCACTGAGGTCCCTTTACCCAAAAATAACTCGGGCCAAATGCAAAGCAAAAAGTTCAGATTGTTTAGATCTTTATAAGACTCAAGTCCTTGAAGTGACACAAAGCTTCAGTCACTCTGAATCAATCAGCTCAGCAGTCTGCAGTCACCTGAGCGATGTCCTTGTTCTCAAAGTGTGGCAGGCTCCTGCTGATCGTTTTCAGAAAAAGGTGTCAGGTAACGAACAAAACAGAGGAAAAATGAGCAAAAAGAGGCAAACATTTTTAAAAAGTAGCAACGGTAGATTTTTTTTCTTCTCATTGAATCATTCCAGTAATGATTTGCTTTTGTCTTTTCAGCTTCTACAAGGCGATAATTCATAGCACAAGGACAAAACACTGAAGAAAAATAGACTTGAGTTCAAACTGTGGAAGACATTTCCAGTACAACAGTCCATGGTTTGTCAAGAACAAATTGAATTTCAAAGCACCTGGGTGAGAAATCACTTCAGTGAGATAAACTAGGCCGACTCTGCAACTCTTAAACACTTTGATTTGTCCGAGGAACAAAACATAAAGCCTGCAACGAGCAGACATTTTCACTTTGTGACTCCTGTGAAAAAATGTGTAATAGTTAAGATTAAAAGTACCGTATTGATGATTAAATCCAAAATACTAAGACTGATCATTAGTGCAAGTGCTGGTTGCATGAATAATTTGTAACTGCTTGTATTTTTGTAAGAAAATGTTGAGTTTTAAACTTTGTCTACTAATTCTGTAAATCAGAAAAAAAATCTCATCTTATAATGTATTTTTATTTAAAAAAACATACAAACAAATCATGAGGTAAATAAAAGATGGTTAAGTTTCCAAAAATTACATTGTTTTGTGTTTTTGCAGATTTCATCTCAGCACTGACAGATTCGAAGAGTTTCTTGTGTTTTGTTAATTCAGCAACGCAAACACATGACAGCACATAAAAACACAAAGAGCCGGACTGTGAGAGGGTCCCTGGGGGGGTCAGACTGCAGCAGTGAGCAGGGCGGAGACCAAGGTGATCAATAACAACAGCTGAAGACAGACGATGCAGCAGGGTGGAGGCTCGGCCATCTTGTTATGCGAGAGGGCGGATCAGCTGTCAATCACACTCTTCTGAGTCAAACTTAAAGTCCTGCATGATCTCACTCAGTGCCTCTTTGTTCTGGATGATCCTGACCAAAGAGAGAACACAGACATTTATCTTGAAACCACACTGCTGCATTGTTTAGAAGACTGTTTATGAAGCAAACAATTCCCAAACGTCGATTCAGTCATTTCAGAGCGACTCTGACGCCAGCAGCAGGTTGGCAGTAAGTAAATGGCACGACAGGAACTTGGTGCGGTACGCAGAGGGCTGCAGAAAGCTGCACTTACTCGTGCTTGATGTCCTGGATTTTGTCTCGACAGTCCTCATCCTCTGGATGATCCTGGGCCTGCTGCCTGGTCAGCTGCAGCTTGGCTGTCTGTACAGAGAAAACACCAGAAAAAACAAAATCCTAATCTAAATACGTGTTTGTTTTTGAACTTAGTCTAAATTAAAGCCTCGCCAACATGTGGCACATTCACTAGTTATGTTGTTAACAGCAATGGAAAAACAAAAATTAAGCTGGAAAATAGTTACTAAATGTAAAGAAACTCTGCCTCCACATGGTTAAATAATCTCGTTTCATAAAAGCATATTCCTTTAAAAGGCTTAATTATGACAAATACACTTAGAACGTGGGTTTAACAATGTATATTAAATACATTTGTGGCTTTACCCAGAGCAGTTTAATTATGAAGTTGAGTGTGACATTTTCATCAGTTTTCCCTTTTCAGCATTCTGTATGTAAATAAATGTCTCACAGTCATTAGGAATATTTTGCTTCTCAGCTCAAAGAAGCATCAGTAAAATATATTTCACCTACAAGCAGGATGAACCATGTAAATTGTTGCAAATTAGAAGTGCTGGAAACAGTTAGCATGAATACCACCATTCCACAAAGTACAATAATTCAGTGTTTTCACTCTTTATTTTACACTGCTGTCGCTTGGATTTGTCAAAAGTGTTTACCAACCAGTTCGAGCTTCTGCTTCTCTTTGCTCTGCAGCTTTTCAATGTGCTCAGCGAGGTCTGGTCGGTCAAACTCGCACTGGAGCCTCTCCTTGATCTCCAGCACTTCCTTGGAAATGCCGCTGAAGGCCTGCGTTATCTCATGGACCAGCTGCTTGTAGTGATCGAAGTCATACTGGGGTCCTGTCCTCAAGTAGGCCTCGTGTCCTCTGGAAGACAGTGAGCAGCCAAAACAAAAGGAAAAGACACCAAGTCATTACTGACATACAATTCAGACTTTTGTGTTTGTAGTTTATGATTGAAAGCAGAGAGAAAATGTTAGTAGGGCATTGGACCAATACACGACTGTCCAACATTTGTCATTTTATGTATGAGAGAGGAAAGCACCTCTCATAGATGATCAACTGGGCTGAGATCTGATGATTGTAAAGGATTATAATTCAGACTCTCTTCATTCAAATCAATATTTGACCCCAACTCTCTGCAGCCTTCAGACTGGGTTTCTAGCCTTTTCAGAGAAAAGTGGTTCACGTGGAACTGATGAGTCATTGTAGCGAGCAAAAAAAGTATTTTCTTGTTCTCTTTATTAAAATACTGTACGAGTTAGTTTTATAGAATTAGCTCCTGTAAGTCAATGATGTGAGTGGATCTAAAAGCCCTGGTCATTCTTCTTCAACAATGAAGCTTTTAAAAAAGAATGAAAAAAAAAAAATTGTTTTCAGGGTATTTCACTTTTATTTTGCAAGTTGTTTTTTTGTTGTTGTTTTTCTTCACATTTTAGTGTCCATCCATCCATCATCCATCCATCCATCATCCATCCATCATCTTTACCCACTTCTTCCTTTTTTTTAGTCACGGGGGTCACTGGTGCCCTTGTCCAGCAGTCACTGTGTGAGAGGCGGGGGACACCCTGGACAGGTCTCCAGTCCATCAATGGGACACATAAGGTCCTGGCTGGGATTTGAACTGGTGACCTTCTCAATGAGAGGCAACAGCTCTATCAACTGAGCCACCGTGCCGTCCTCACTTTAGTGTCCTGATTAAAAACTCTTAATTAAAAAATTCTATCTATAGGTTATTTGTGATATATATTTTACACATCGGGACATCAAATTAATTTTTTTAAAGAGAGTCAAAACTAAAATTTCATACAAATAATCCATGTTCACAGCAAATAATGGCACTCTAAGACCAGAGGCTATTTAAAAGACAAACTCTTCTAGTCAAGTCACCAATATAATCAAAATAAATATACAGTTATGACAATTGCACAGACAAGATCATGATTTTTCTCAAATATTTGACTGTTAATTCAGACAAGCCTGATTCTGGTGCAGATGTCACTGACCCATCTGCTCAGGTTGTTTTTTATTAGGGATGCACGATATTGGATTTTTGGCCGATATCCGATATGTTAAAACTTATTTGCCCGATAATCAATGCCGATATTTATTTTCCTAGACCTATTTACAAAGACTACATAGCTTTCTCTGCTGTGTAATTAAAATACATTATTCTACATGGTCTTTGTTTGTCAGTTTGGCCTGCTACCAAATGCAGATCTGAAAATTATGTAACACTATATAAATATGTAATATATATATTTTTTTAAAGTGCCTTTTATATTGGTGACTTATTTTGATGGAATGGCTGATGTACAATATTTAACTTTATCGCTAATATCATCTGATACCGACACCATGCCGATAATATCGTGCATCCCTATTTTTTATTACCACAAGTTTAATTTGTAGTTACGCAGATTACGTTACTTTCCAACTACAGTTTGTCCTTTATTCTGCTTGTGAAGAAACTTGCTGCCAAAATGCAGAAAGAAGATTTATATTAGTGTTTGTGCACAAACAGAGGTTCTCCATGTTAAAGTTACTCACAACCCACTAGAAGTGCTTTAGAAAACTTGGCCATCGTACAAACAGCAAGTGTGGAGTTGTACATGTGTGGTACTTTTAGGCACATGAACTGCACAATGACTCATGACTTGGTTCAGACATACACAAGAAAAACAGGCTTTGTATATTGTAAGCAATTGAAATTTTTCCACAAAACCTGTAGAATTTGCATGTGCAGGCCCAAAAGCCTCTTTTCTGCAACATATCTTGATGCAAGCTCAATAATCCAGGAAGAAAAATCTCAAAAAAAGTTAAGTCTGGTCCTCTGGACAGGTTCAAAATGTTTCATCTTTCATCCGAAATACAGCTCCTCAGACTGAAGAAGTCTTTCGGATGAAAGATGAAAACGTTTCTACAATTTTTTTGTTTTTTTGAACCGGTCCAGGGGACCAGACTTAACTTTTTTTAGATCTGCTCTGCAACATTCTACATGGCTCAGCATAGGCAAGTGATGTGCAAGTCTCAAGCATGGTTTAGCTAAAAAAAATAATTAAAAAAAATCACGTTAAGCAGTCAGGTGATGAGAACTTCTAAGAATATGATGCAGGTTTGCAAAACAACAATCTGAGACCCACGCTTACTCTTCGAAGAGTCGATATGTCTCTAATCGCTCCGACTGAAGATGATAAAACCTCTGGATCAGAGCCTTAAAATCTGAAGGAACCTAAAATAAAAAGTAAAACACAAAGAAAGTTCACAGAAAATACATATATACTATTATATCTAGTATAACTATAAACAAACTGTTGATCTACCCAACCTCGACAAGAAGTGCACATATTAAATGATTATGAAAATTGTTTTTGTATTGATTCTATTTTGTTTTGTGTGCCATTATCAGTATCATTTGTGTTCATATCAAATTATAAGCTTGAAATAAAGTAAAAAATGTGAACCGTGATTTATTTTCAATGTCTGTATAGTTTGTATCAGACTTGTTTGATAACAGTGATTAAAACCAGACATAAAAACACTAAACAATATATCAGCAGCAGCAATAACTAGCCTGTCGGTTAGCTTGGTTTAGCTTAGCACAAATTAGCTTTGAGCGACTCAGACATAAAGTTATGTTGTAAATAATCACTCACCATTGTACCCTGCTACAAAACACTGTCGCGGAGACCTTACAGTTCAAAACACAGCATTTTTATAGTTTGTAAACTCTGTACGTTTGTTTTATTTCCTTCTACGTATCAGCAGCCTGCAACGATGTACAACCCGGAAGTTACGACACAGATCCGTTTGCAAACAATTGGCCTTCAAAATAAAAGTTCTCATCCAGCCACCATGACGTTAAGCAATTTGTTTCACTGAAAACAATAAACAAAACAAATAAACAAACAAAAGAAACACTTGCAGTACAGCTAAATTCATACCGGTGTTTTAATCATTTGTTGGTTTCTTTTAAAAAAATCAGTCTCGAGGCTTCTAGAAGAATTATCTAAAGCCTTTCTGTAGAGAATAACTGTTATATCTGTCTCTCTTCAGAAACCTTTAAGTCATCTCTCTAGACACCAAGCATCACTCTTTTCTCTTTGGCTTTTAACTCAGCTTGAAATGTTTCATTTTATTGTTGTTGTGTTTGTTATTTTTATGTTTCTATCAGTTCATTATTTTTTGCAGTTTTAAATTATTTTATTGTTTTAATGTCTACATTTATGTGTATTTATCAGTGTGCAGAACTTTGGCCAACTGTGTTTTTTTTAGTTTTTTTTTTTTAGTTTTTTAAAATAAAGTTTTATTGGGTTTTTTTTAGCACTGTGTGTTAGAGTTTTGTGTTTATTAAAAAAGGAAGCCTGAAGTTCTCCAGAAGCATAACTTGTAAAATTATGACTACTTTTATTACTTACAATTCTACCAGTGTTAAAAAGATCTTCCAACTCCACCGGCTGTCAGGCTGAAGCAAGCAGAAGCAAAGGTTTCGGATTTGGATTAATCAATCTGTGAGTTCAGGTTTGTGTAATTTACCTTGCAGGAGTGTCATCTCTGCTCTCTTAATAACTTTTTGACAGCCATTCACCACTGAGAACATTTTAATGAGGTCTGGTAAACTATAAAGGATGATAGCAGAGGCATCTCCCACTTCCTAACGTCTTTATTTTTTCTCTTTTGTTGTAGTTGGTTTTAATTCCTCCAGCGTACAACCCGATTTTAACATCAACACCAGTTAAATGAAGAACATGAATGTGTGATTATAATGTGCTGACCACATTGGTTTATTAGGGCTTTACCAGTTTTATTTTGAAATCCCATTCGCCTCTTGTTACAGGACTTTTTCACAAAAGTGTTTCTCCATCACGTTGAGGTGTTTTGATGCAGATTTGTACCACAGTTTTACATTTGAAGCCTGCCGCATTCAGATCTTGATTTGATTACTTTCAAATAATGTGTTTTAAGTTAAACTTCAGTTGAACCCTGCTGGGATTAGCAGTCTGTTACATCTTTCATCCCATCCGCGCTGGACTTTAAGGGTTTGGATCCGAAAGCATTATTCCAGTAAGAAGGAAAGAGAGCTACTATCCTGCGCGGATCGGGGTCCTCCCACGCGCCGAGTCTCGTCCTGTACGCTGATTGGGCCGCTCTGCAGCTTCAGCACCACGCAGCCTGAACAGCGACACCCAGCCGCTTCTTGGGAATGAACGCGGTTACCATGACACCCGTTATCCCGTTCTCTCATTATTTTCATGCATGATGCTTTTGTTTTATCCATCAATGGGAAGTCTCTCCATTAGGAGCTCGTGCCTCCTCTCGGTTTGATCGTTAGTGTCTCTGCATGGGAGATCAGATGCTCGGACCCGCAGAGGCATGACGGACTCCGTCGATCCCGCCGCTCCGGTTCTCCTCAGCAGCTGGATCTCATCCTGCAGCGTGCCGGCTCCCCATCCTCAACATTCTCATGCCGCCGGTCCCCTCACGCCTCTGGTGACATGACAGCTCGGAGCAGGAAGAAGAGGATCAAGGGTTGGAGAGGGTCAGGACCCAAAACTAACAGTCTGGAAGAGTTCGATATGTTTGAATCCGGAGTCTGACTGATTACATTAATCCAGATTTGGGTCTCCAGCTGGTGACACCCGTCTCATGTTCGGCCTCATATTGATCCTGGTCAAGTTCCAGACAGCTGTGAGCCTCACCCCCACCCATTTACTCCCACCCTCCCGGCCTGTCGGTCACCCCCCTCACCCGGCTGCTCCTCGCGAGCATCACCGGCCGCGCGGCCATGGGCTGCATCCAGAGCATCGCGTGCAACAAGTCGCGCGTCCGGCGGGAGAACGTCGTGGTGTCCGAACTGTCGGCCACCATAGACCACTGCGCCACCGTCATAGAGGAGAGCTCACCCATAGTGCTCCGCTACAAGACGCCCTACTTCAAAGCCTCCGCGCGGATTGTGATGCCCCCCATCCAGCGCAGCGAGACCTGGGTGGTGGGCTGGATCCAGGCGTGCACCCAGATGGAGTTTTACAACACCTACGGAGACATCGGCATGTGAGTTCACGCACCTCATATCACCTGATGCGGCGGGGGTGGGGGGGGGGGGGGGGGGTGTGTGTGCTCTCCTCCTCAGACTCCCACCGACAGATTCTGTTCCTAGATGAGCGAAACAGCATTTGCTGCCCTCGGACTCAGATTGTGCCCACGAGGACATGGCATCCCCCACGAGCTCACTTTGTTTAGAAGGCATATGTGAGGGGGTGTTTAATCCTCCCGCTGGGTGTGGGTGGGTGTGTGGAGGATGGGGTGTCACCAGAAGCAGCAAACAGGAGGAACAGATGACCAAAACAACGAGATTAATCATAATCTGACAGATTTACAGTGGCATGCAGGATTTGGATGATCAGGTTGGTGCACTCAGAGCAGCATCTGAAACAAGAAGTGATGAGCGCAGAAAAAAAAAAAAAACACGCACACGCGTGGACACCTCAAGAAATTAGAATTTTTAAGAACCTTTTCCCACTCCAAATAAAATGTGTCCAGTCATAACACCCCCTTGAAAATCGAAATAATAAAGTATGTATGACAAATAAAGAAACTTTGACTTTGATTGTCATATGTTACACCACTTTTATGGGGAAATCGTCATTAAATAGAAATAATCTATAAAAGCATATCTTATTTAAATTTTACCCACAAACCTCGTTATAATTTGATAACTCATGAATTTCCTATTTTAACTCATTACTTTTTCATTCAACCTTTATTTATGCAGGTTAGTCTCATTGAGCCTCGAGGGCTCATTTACAAGAGAGAACAAATAGACATTTATATAAATCATGTAAAATGAAAAGTAAATAGAATAAATTATATAAAATAAAACAAAAACAGCAACATTATAAGTGATGTAAAATACTAAAAACAGGAACATGTCTGCATTGGTTCTTGCCATGAACTTAGCAGATGTTTGAAGCCACTTAGAGAGGTCAAGGTCGAGAGCTTCAGGTCTTTTTGTACGATATTCCAGGAAACAGGAGCGAAGTAGGAGAAGACTCTTTTGCCTAGTTCAGTCTGCACTGAGGGAACACTGCAGGTAATAATGTCCTGAGAGCGCATGCTGTAGCTGCACTCATGCAGAGACATGTAGGAGGAGATGTATGAAGGCAGCAGACCAAGAAGTGATTTAAAGATGAAAATGTACCAGTGAGAGAGTCTGCATGAAGTTAATGATGACCAGTTAACCAGTGAATACAGTGTGCAGTGGTGGGTACGATAATCACAGCCAGTTCTGAATCTTAGTGCACCATGATAGACAGCATCCAACATCTGCAGGGTTCTTGTAGGAGCGTTCATGTAAATAATGTCACCATAGTAAATGGAGGGAAGGAATCTAAATAAAGGGTGAATGAATGTAGCATTTACAATATGTTTCCTAGTGTTCAGAGTTAGACAGGATCTATTTCTGAAGAAGAAACCCAATTTAACTTTCAGTTTCTTTACCAAGTTTTAGACATGAGGCTTAAAAAGAGAGATGTGAATCGACCAAAATACCCAAATATTTGTAGGAATCAACAAACTCAATAGGGACACCGTTCAAAGATAAAATAGAAGAAAGTACTGCTGATACCAACTTCCTGTTTGAAAACAAAATTCCTTTGATTTTATCAGCATTTAGCACCAGTTTGAGATGGAACAAATCTAACTGGATGATGTCAAAAGTGGATTGTAAAAGCTGGATAACCTCAGCAACAGTTTTAGCTCAACAATAAGCAACTGTATCATCAGCATAGAAATGTAAGGATGCATCAGGGATGAACTGATCTACATTACATATGTAGATTGTGAAGAGGGTGGGTCCTAAGACTGAACCTTGTGGTACCCCATTATTAACAGTTAGATAGCTGGAAGAAGAACGCATTGCCTCCAATCGGAGAGATAAACCAACAAATGGTATGATCTGAGAAACCAATTTCTGAGAGCTTATAACATAAGATGTCAGGGTCCACAGTGTCAAAAGCTTTAGACAGGTCTAAGTAAAGTGCAGCACAATAATCCTTAGCATCCAGTGCTTCATCATCATTAAAAACCTTCAGAGAAGCAGTCGTTGTGCTGTGTTGTTTCCTGAAACCAGATTGATGTGGAGGTAAGATGTTAAAATAATCCAAATACTTCTTTATTTGAGAGTTTATCAATTTTTCTACAACCTTATCAAGAATGCAGCGTTTAGAGATTGGTTTGATAGTTGCTCAGTATGGTGGGGTCTCCTCCCTTCAGTAAAGGTAGAACAAAAGCTGTTTTCCAGGCGTTTGGAACGATATTTTGACTCATGAACTGATTAAAGATGTGGGACACTGGTTCTGCAATGATGTGTGCGGCTAGCCTTTAGAAATAAGGAGGAAGGTCATCAGGGCCTGCAGATTTTCTAGAGTCAAGACATTTTAACAATTTGTTAACCTAACTAACAGAAAATAAAAATACAATTATGACTGTGGAAAATTAAAATAGAGTTATTTTGTATTTAAAAAAGTGATTTCACATCAAATGTATGCCCCTGTCAATAATTTTACATTTTCCACCAACTTATGTTTGAATAAGGTGCAAAAGTTTTATAAGCTGAAAATTTGTTTTATTTAGGGGATTTCAAATCCTAGATAATTATTTTTTTAGCATAAATTTACAGGATGTATTTTCTAAATACACCTATCAGTTTCAAATGTAACGTGAAGACTGTGATGGACATCATTATATCATACCACTTTATAAAGCACAGACAACAGCAACAAGGCCAGTTATCACTGTTTCTCCGGCGTCTCCCTCCAGGTCGAGCTGGGAGCTGCCTCAGCTGAGAGGAGGTCTGGTGAGAGCCATCAGCGACTCGGACGGGGTCAGCTACCCCTGGTACGGGAACACAACGGAGACCGTCACCATAGTGGGCCCCACTTCCAAGTCTTCCCGCTTTACTGTCAGCATGAATGACAACTTCTACCCCAGCGTCACCTGGGCGGTGCCGGTCAGCGAATCCAACACACCCTTACTGACCAACATTAAAAGGGACCAGAGCTTCACCACCTGGCTGGTGGCGCTGAACACCACCACCAAGGAGAAGATCCTTCTCCACACCATCAAGTGGAGGATGCGAGTGGATATTGTGGTGGATCCATCCCTGCCTTTGGGTTCCAGGGCCAGGCTGGTGGGACGGCTGCATCAGGACCAGCCACGGGTTCTGAGCCGCATGGAGCCCATCCCTCCAAATGCAACAGGGAGGCCAAACGCCAATGATGCCCAAGTTCTGATGTGGAGGCCGAGGAGAGGCCCCCCGCTTGTGGTCATACCACCCAAGTAAAACATCACAGGGAGCAAGAGAATAACACGATAAGACTAAAACAGACGCGTGAAACAATAAAAGCAGGTTAAAACTTGTAATAATTGCTGGGACATTTGAGTTATAATCCTGAGGGGACAACTGCCTTAACCCCCCACAGCTGCCTTTGACAAAACAGGTCTCTGCTTCTGGTGCTGCCGAGATGTCCAACATGCAGGCGTTCTCTCAAACCAGCACATCTGAGCACAGAGCGCTCTCACTCCATCAAACCACCATAGCCCTGCGATGTAACGTACATGTGATGTAGCTGGCCCAGAAAGGAGTGGCCACGCCCAGACACAGGAAGATTAGCATGATTATTTTTTTTTTAAGTGGGGGTTCAGCCTTAATGATGTTCTGCAGTGTGTCAAAGATTAACTAACAGGTGATAAAAGCAGAAATTATTGATCACAGAGATTATTTTACCTGGATGGTGTGTAGGTGTTTATGTCTTCGTGCTTTCTCTAAGGGAGCTCCACGCTGTGTCACACCAGACTGACTCACACACACACACACACACACACACCCCACAGGCTTTATACAATATATTCATCTGCGATCAGATGACACAGGAAATATAAAAGCAACAACACACACAGACACACACCATCACATATGAACTTCATCCGCTCTACGGTTGCTCCGATTTGGCCTTTTGAAACTCAGAGGTCTGGATCTGGAGAGGACAAAGAAACTTTACTATACAAATTTGTTCTAATTTGACCTAAAAGAGCAAACAATACGACTTTTACAGCCCAATAAAAGTATTTGCAAAAAAAAAAAAAAAAAGTATTTATACAAGAATAATTGCAGTATTACAAGTTTTAGTTTCAATTTTAAGGTTTAGATATTTTGTTTTCATTATATTACCCATTTCCACTAAAGGTTTGAAATTCTGCA